CACATGCATACACACATTTCTGAAGTTCAAGAACTGCATTTAATTCATTTGCTCTCATTTCTCAATGCCTACAATTAGCCTGAAACAAAATGTGTACATGATCAATATATATGTATATAATTTTTAATTAGAAAATATTTAAAGTCAGAAAATATTTTCAAATATATCTGCAGACATTTGTGCATATGTATAACTGACATATTAAATATGTACTTTTTAACCAACTCTGTAATTAAAGGAAACTCAAATGATTGTTTTTATAGAAGCGTAATACAAAAAATATGCCTAAGTATACATGAGGAAAAGTTATATAGAATATAATTAATTTTATTGCTATTATCAACAGTAAAAAATTTGGTGACAACAATAGAAACTAGTTTTTTAGATTTTATTTTAATTGTATAAAATTCTGATAAATAGAATGACAATTTCATAAGGAACAAATTGATAATATGTACTTGTAGATCATGTGTAATGATCAAACTCAGGAAATTAATGTTTTTATTTTCTTAAAATATTAAAAATACTAACAAATAATACTTGTACATTCTTCTCAGATATAGTACACATATTTAGATATATTAATTATATAAGAAAATGAATTTTCAGTCATACATTCACATGATGTACTTTAATCATATCCACCCTCAAATTATGGCTCTACTTTTATTGTTAACGTGGAGTTTGAATTCAGAGCTTCTTATGAATCACCAACGCCACTTGTAACCAGCATCCTCACTTGTAATCAGCATCCCCACTTGTAATGTGGAGATCAAATTTAGAGCTTCTTATGATCAGCATCCCCACTTGTAATCAGTGGGCTAATTCACTCAGCCCACCCCGGCTCATGGTATTTCATAATGTATATACAAAATGTGCTGACACAGTTGAACAATTAACTTCTATCTTCTTCATATTATTTTGTGTGTGGTGCTCCAGGTTTTTCTCTTCTAGTTATTCATTACATATGAAATATTTCATCATGAACGTTAGTCCTCCCAGAGTTCTATAGTTTATTGGAACACCACTTTCACAGGCTTGCGTTTGGATTATCAGTTGTCTAACCTCTCATTATTACCGCTTGCTACTCCCCTTCTCAGGTTATAGTAGTTACCATTATAAATTTTGACTGACTTTTAGAAAGTATCCATATATGAAAGAGAGAAAATGTAATTTGCATTAGAAAACAATTTATAAACTTAAAAGACATCATTTAGACTTGTACAAATTATTTCATGGAAAAGTCCTTTATTCTAAGACATTTGATACAGGCATTAACAAACACCACGGATGTTTGGAACCCAAGGAATCCATTCCCAACATAAGAGATACGTGGACAAGAGCATGAAGCAGGTGGTTGCTCATGGGACTCTGGAGTTCAAGAAAAATACCAGCATAGAAACCACATACACACGCGCTCATGCACACACACACACACACACACACACACACACACACACACACAGAAGAAAATGTGTGTGATAGATATACATAAGGTAGCTAACTGTGGGATTGGATGAAGTCATCAAGGGAAAGCGACTCAATTTTGGTTTTGTATTAAGATCTTCGGGCAAAAATTTAGATATACATGACTGAATCTCATTCATTCAGAGGGTTTTCAGGCTAGTATTACTCCGACAAAGTAGGAGAGGTAAGGGAGTCTATGGCTCATGATTCCTTCATAATTTCAAGAGTTTTAAGGTCTAGACATAGAAGAACCACCATATTATGGTGACCTATAAAGGTGAGAAGGAAATTTGCTCCAAACCCCTCCTTTCTTTTCATTGACAAATTTTCAGCTGAACAGACTATTTGGTAGTAGGATTTACTGGGAGGAAACAGGTAACAAGCATGCTACTAAAGGGTCTTTGAGCTGTTTCCATCTCCCTGTATTCTGTCCATCATTAGACATTGCTGTCCACATCCTCTCTCTGTAATATTCTACCTCACCACACAGGACAAAAAGCAGTGGAGCCAAGTGACCTCTAAAACCAGGAGAGAAATGAAATCTTTCCCTCCTTTGGTTGGTTTTCTCAGGTGTTTGTCAGAGATAGAAACGTGAGTAACAATGCCTTTCTATACTAGATGAGATAGGGCGGGAAATTTTTTTTTTATCCCTAATCCTTTAAGACAACAGTAGAATAGATTATTGAAAATCAAGCCGGGTCTGTTTTGTTGACTTCTTTGAAGAGAGTAAGATAGGCATATTTAGTTTTTAGACGACTAATCTTACAAAGTTGACTATGCTACTACTTGGCTACTTAGTCTTGAGTTAGTACCTTAAGTGTAGGGATAAGGATGCTGATCTCACTCCGAGTATCAGCAGATTCTAGCTTTAGTCTTGCTGAGGCTTGCCTCCTATCCGAGGCTCAGCTGCTAGATGGGTAAGAAAGATTTTGAAGAACTCTGACACAGTGAAGGCAATCATAGGGTAAGAAAAGCATTGAAAAGGTTTCATCTAAAGTCTCAGAGGTATACGGATATAAAACTATGAAAAGATGGTTGGTAGAAAAAAAAAGTCTAAGATGTCTTGACTCAAACTTTCTAGTCAATTTTGCTGTCTCACTCAGTATCCAAGTATATGGCAGA